TTATTTCCTCTTTGCCCCGACGCGCATAAATCGCGGCCCGTTCCCTCGGCAGGCGGGATTTACAGTGGGCCCGTTGCTTCAAAGCTCTCCGTAATTAAGGAATAAATACCCATCGGTCTTTGTTTGCTGTCTGGAGCCCTCTTGTTTGCCAGGGACCTGGCTATTCCCGGTGGGCTTGTGCCTTCCCCCTTAGCAACGCGGCCGGGCGGAGAAGGCATGCGGCCGTGGAGCCGCTCAGCTGCTCAGCGCGGCCTTTGCAATGCGGCCGAGGGGTCTTCTCCTGCAGAGAGAGAGGAAGCCCCTGTGTTTTCTCAGCACATTGTTCCCAGCCCCTCTTCCATGCCTCTCCTCCCAGTTCCTGCTTTGCTCGGGGCAGGAAGGCACGTTGGAAATTCCTTGCTGCTAGCCCCTTTCTTCTCGCCCTCTCTCCTTCTCCCCCCTTTTGCTGTTGCAATTAAAAGCATCGTGAACCTTTCCCCAGCGTTTCAATCCCGTCACCCCCTCCCCAATGTTTTCCTTTTGCTCATCCCAGCGCTGCTCTATCCAAAGCTGTCCATTTCTTGGGATCATCGCAGAGGGGGTGGTTTGATCAGGAAGCCCCGGCACATGCACCTGCCCAGCGCCGGTCATTAGGTGATGTGTGCTCCTTGCATGCTGGACCACGAAGCTAATGACACATCCTGGGCCCCTTCCAGGAGTTTGGGAGGTGCAGTGGGTTAGATTTACTTCATTTTCTTGGAAGAGACACATTAACCTTGTCAGCTGGCCAACAGGAGAGGAAATTTGGCAGAGCTCTTGCTGAGCTGGCCAGGTTACCGCGGCGTTAAAGGGTTGTACTTCAGTGAGCAACCAGAAATGGCAACACACGGGCACAGCACCTGCACAGCGACCGTGGAGATACCACTGAGAGGCCTCCTCTCTTACAGAATTAGTTCCTTTAGCAAGAAAGAAGAAAAGATAAAAACATTTCAGGAGCTTTTCAGTGTTGTCAGAGGYGTGGAGGATGAAAATTCACTTCAAAATGCCTGTGAGAAGCCTGCTCTTATTTCTGCTGGTGGGAAATCAATGCCGTGCCACGGTAAATACCTGCTGTCCACTGTCTCTAATTCAAGCTTCAAAACTTGCTCCAGCTTTTAGCAGGTGGTGAGTAACTCTGGGTAACGAGCGAGTGACACGGCATTTTAGTCATCCTTTAGTCATGCCTTGGGAAGAGCRAGGCTGCTCCTGCTCTGGTGCTGTGGAATTCTGATGGCACATTCCCAGGCTCTCCAGCCACGTGCTGTTGCCTACTCAGGCACTTTTGGGTCACAGTATGAGCACGACTGGTGTTTTCCCACCCTGCATATGCTCTTCGTGTTTGCTCTCTTAAGGCTCTCCACCAAATGTACGTGAGGGACGAATGGAGGTGAAGGCAGAGGTGAATGGGAGCGAGGACAAATCGTGATGAAGAGTGGATTCCACCAGGATGAGGCTTCTGATGGCATCTGTAGGGTGGAAACCCCAGTGCACCACATGATCACCCTGTGGGGCTGAGCTGTGTAGGACGTGGGCTCCTCAAGGAGCATCTCCAGTGCAAACCCACGAGTGGGGAGCGCAGTGCAGCGCCTGRAGCGAGGCTGTGCTCGAAGCAAATCTGCTTTTTCTCTTCTCTGATGCTCCCTGGTTACCCTCCCCCCTTCCAGTGCCCAGTATTTATGTTTCCACATAATAATGRTGTGATGTGGCTGGCAGAGTAATTTAAATAATTGGACATTATCTTGAGAAGCAAGCACCTAATTAGATCAAAATAAACGGAGAACTGAAATTTTCATCTGTTTCTAATAACCTTTTACCTATGTACAGCATTGCTGCTGCAGTGGGGATTTCATTATTCACACCACTGTGYGTTCTTGGGGTTCGCTAGTGGTGGAGACTCTTGCATCACCAGTGGGATGGAGGACCTTGGCAGACCTTTTTGGACAAGATTAGTGACTCTTTCCTGGTTCTGCAGTGTGTTTCTGCTGTGTAACCATTGAGGTTTGCGTAACCCTCACCCCTTGTGTAACCATTGAGGTTTGGCATCTGTGTCAGCAGAGCTTTAGGGAGAAAAGGCTCAAAGAAAGTCTGATCTCAAAGCTCTGTTGTTCATGTCTCTGAGTTTATCTAGGAGGTTATAATCGATTCAGTTGCAGCTTACACCTTCTGCAGTGTTTGGTGTCATTGGGACCATKGGAGCACAGGAAGATCTTGCTTTCATGTGAGACTTGCGCTGTTGAAAGTTCACTGCAAGTGTCTTGGTTTGGCTTTGGCAACTACAGCTGGAAGTCTCTGTGTGGAGAGGGTCACTTAGAATTGCCAGGATTACAGTYAAGGGAGGAAAAGAGGGAAATATTTACCAGCCTTTATTTTAGGGCTTGGTTCAATGTCTTTCTCCTGATGAGTTGCTCTTCCTCACACTTCCTCGTACTCTTATTCACTTGATTTATTTAAAGGTATGTCAGTGCTGGCTGAAATGAAACACTGTGCCTCCTCTTCCTGCTTATTGCTGACCGCTCCAATAATTCATTTTTTAGCTCATTAACTAACAGGGGATGTGAGCAGTGGTCCTCCGGGGAACTGCAATGAGGTTAAGTGATCTACTGCTGACAACTCTGCTCTTGGACTGGCCTTCCTTGGGGGAAATGAAACCTCAACCAAGACAAGCTGTGGATCCCAGAAGTGAAATTGGGGCATCAGAGCAACAATTACAGTATTTATGTCTTGTTGTCAGGGTTTCTGAGATGAATGCGAGTGGCAGAGTTGCAGCTGTTTCCCAGGAAAGTCCCCAGGACTTCCCATCCAAATTAAATGGTTTGTGCCAGAGATGGAGGGAGGATGTTTGTGGTCACTGGCTTTTGTGGTGCTGCTTGAAAAGCAGTCCCTCTGTGCTATGGCTGTCCATGAAGTGTAGTTAAATTTGCTTTTCCTCCTACATCTSATTAGGGTTTTTTCTACGCTAAAATCCAGATCTTTCTTGTTCCCAGTTGGTACTGTTGAAAAAGACCTAAATCTCACTCAACAGCTGATGTCAGCGACATGCTGCCCCAGATGTCTGAGGCTTCTGAAATGCCTTTATTCTGATTTGTAGTGTTCCCACCACAACCTTGCTGTGACTCTAGTGGTGGAATTTGGCCTTGAAGTCATTTGGTACCCAGCACCGAGGCAGGTGGCAGCACATTCATTCCCCTTCCTGTGACACTTACTTTTCGAGGGTTTCCTGTTCTAAATAGAGAGGGCCCTTTTCTTGAGCCACAGTGATCACAGCAACCAGTGCTCTGACAGGAGCCAAAAGTTCCTCTCACTCAAAACATACTCTGGGTGAGGAGGTATTCATTTGTAATTCTTGACTAGGCTAAAAATAGTGATTGCTTATGTGTCTGAGGTATATTGTGCCTTCAGATGTGTGTACATATGAAATAAATTCCCAGTAACCCTGGTGGATGTTACTGTGGGTGAGCAGCACAGGTTGAATCACTTCACTTTCCAGTCTGGCATGTTTTAAACGTTCAGTGGATGTGTTGGTTATACTCTCAATACCTCCATGTGTGTTTAAAAATCACAGATCTTTGCTGAACATCCTACAAAATAATCTGTGTGGATCCTGGAAGTGAAACTGTTCCAAGAATGCCCATTTTATTGTAGATAATTGCATGTTACTTAATCCCTTCCGTGGCACTGGTTCTAGTTTGGCTTTTTACCTTAAAAAAATATAATTAGAAAAACCATGAATTAAAGATTCTGATAAGAGAACTCCTTTTCTTCCTCCTCTCCATCTGGAATACCTGCAGCAATACTCCCATTTATCAGATCCTACCATCAAAGGTTAATTTGCAACTGCCCAAATGGGTTGTGGGGKTTTTTTTTGTGGTGTGCTTTTTAGCTTGCAGGAGTCATTCATAGGTTTGAGGTAAAAGAAGCACTCTCTGTGTTAATTTTGTGTTTGCACTTTTGCTCTGAAGAAAAGCCCTGGCYCTGTTTGTGGGGTAAACCATGGTGGGACAGGGAAGCTTTGGGAAGCGGTGCCTGAAAGCATCCAGGCAGGTCAGAGCCAGGTCACTCCGCATGTCCCAGGAAATGATGCAAAACTAATCCAGATTTGCTGGTGGAAGGAGATGTTTACATAAGTATTTAAAAACAGATTAGGGCTAACCTGACACTAGATTACTGGGAGCAGTGTAAACATGGCTGAAAGGCGTAAACAGAGCCCAGCCTTTTGTACTGCAGAGGAGAGAATCTGTCAGCAGCGCCCGCTTGCCTGGCTCAGGTGATGTATGTGGTTTTCACGGGTTGAGCAGATTACCTGAGGGACCTCTAAATGGGACTTTGTCTGGGGCTGGTGCTCTCACATCGTGCAATTGTATGGTAATTTTATAAATGGCAACTGGAGGGCCTTGTTTGTAGTCCTTGTTCTGCTGTAACCCGATAGCACCCACAAAGCTTCTGACGGTTCTTTGATATTTCAGGGGGAAAAGATGCTTCAAAGCGCTGGTTTGAATTTTGGAAAAACACAGGAACTGGTTTTATGCCTTTGGGAACATTATTCAGCTTGGAGAGGGACAAAGCCACCCCTGTTTGGTTACTTCTGGTCAGGGATACAGAAATTGGGTGCATTTTTTGCAGCGTATTTTCCAGTCCAGCTTTAAGGTGGAACCTGGCTGCCTGTTGTGTCTTTAGCCTTTGTGACAGTGAGGGCTCTTGCAGTGACCTCGCGCTGGCCCTGGGTTTTTAAGAGCTCTGGGCTGTTGTGATCCTACAACCCCGTGGGCACAGCATCCATCAGGGAGCATCTGGAGCATTGGCTCAGGAGTGATTAAGGGCACTACACAAATATTGCTCAAAATACAAGATTTASATGAATTGTTCCAATGGTTTGGGTGAGCTGTTCCTGTGAGGGCTCTCTCGCCATCAGTTTGGAAGAGGAAATGATTTCCTTGTTGGCTGTGGCACCAGGTGAGAGTGACCTGTCCCCTCTGGCTTCCCAGGGAAGAAAAGGAGCTCTGGATCCGCGCCAAGTACGAGCAGAAGCTCTTCCTCGCCCCGCTGCAGTGCCTGGAGCTCTCTCTGGGCCAGCATCTCCTGAGGGCCACAGCTGAGGAGGACTTGAGGACGGTGATCCTGCTGCTGGCCCACGGCACGCGGGAGGAGGTGAACGAGACCTGCGGAGAGGGGGACGGGCGCACCGCCCTGCACTTGGCCTGCCGSAAAGGGAACGTGGTGCTGGTGCAGCTCCTCATCTGGGTAAGGACTGGGTGCCCGAGGCAGGGGTGGCTGTGCGGCTGGGCTGGGCCCTCAGCAGGACATCCCAGAACTGCTCCCAGAGGAGCAAGACATTCACAAGGGCTGTGTCCTGAGGCTGGGTGTTCCTCACTGTTCCTCTCAAAAGGTGGCCATCATGGTGGAAAAGTACCTTTCTGCCTGTCTGCTGCTGGATGGAAAGGATGGAGAGTGTAGGAAAGGAGGAGGGAGAGATTCCCTTAGTTTGGAATACCTCTGGGGCAGATTCTGTCCCACATATGGAATTCCCTTTGCTTGGAATACCTCTGGGACACATTCTGTCCTACACAAGACCCCCTCCCTCAAGAAACATTTCTCCATGCATGACTCGGTGCTGCCATGCTCATGTCACCAGCCCAGCCTCCTGCCCTGTCCCCATCCCCCCCTTCAATCCGACCCTCTCCATCTCCTCCAGCCTCACCCCCTTCTCTCCCGCAGTACGGTGTGGACGTGATGGCGCGTGATGCCCACGGGAACACGGCGCTGGCCTACGCCCGCCAGGCCTCGAGCCAGGAATGCATCGACGTCCTGCTGCAGTACGGCTGCCCCGACGAGCGCTTCGCCCTCATGGCCACCCCCAACCTGTCCCGCAAGAACAACAACCGCAACACCAGCGGCGGGAGGATGCCCACCATCATCTGAGGGGAGCGAGCCCRCGTAGGCGCTGAGCCGAGTCCCATCCGCAGCCTCACATTCCGCCATCGCCATCACGGCTCTGCTCGGCGAGCCTGGTAACTCTTCTTGTCCCTTTTCCCTCGGGTACATCCATCCCCGAGTGCCACCAGGGCCGAGGAGGAGCCCGGGGGGCTGCTGAGCAGGCTGTTGTTTCAGTGCCCGCCGCCGGGCTGGGAGAGCCCAGCCGGACACGGCCCGAGGGGACACACGGCACTCCCGGAGCGCGCGGGGAAGGGACGGGACGGGACGGGAAGGGAAGGGAAGGGCGGGGGGAGAGGCGAGCCGGACGAGAAGGAAGGAGAGATGGTGACTTTCCCTAAGTGACAGTGAAGCACATCAGTACATTTCACCTCTACCGAACGCCGCGGCGACGCCTGGATTTCCATTCTCTTCTCCTGAAGAGCTTGACGGCATAAATCAGAAGCAAGCACAGAGTTTGTCAGGTTTGAAGCTCCTATGATGGTATGTGTCAAATCAGTTGTAGCTAATCTGTCCGGGGAGAATACTGGCTTCATTACACTTGTATAGTTGAGTTCTTCCAGCATTACTGCTGTTTAATAGAACATGATTAGTCATCACGGAGAAAAAAGCATATTAGCTGAGGAGGTAGTTACATGGCACGCTTCGGTGATTGCTTGGATGTGATTGCAATATTCTTAGAAGCATCATATTATCTCAGACATGTTCTTTCGAGCCCTTGGAGCCCTCCTTTCTAAATTCACTGTCATAATTTAGTATCTGTTTAATTTTTCAGTCCAAAGAGAGGAAATGAGTTGCTGAGTGTTATTTGACTGCAGTCTCCTTGGTGTAAAAACAAAATGGAAAAAATAAATAAGAGTAAGCCTGAAACACAAAAAGGAATAATGAATACCGCTACGGAAAACAACATTTCGAGTACGTTTGGTGAAATTAATAAATGCGTTAAAGGCTAATTTTTTTTTTTTTTTGGTTTGTTTTCAGCCAGCAGAAATAGGTTCTGTCATTTTGCCAAGGTAAATTGTGTTGAGTTTTTGGTCACTYCTGTGATGCATTGCCTAACTTATACAGATTTTTGTATTGTGTCTCTAGATTCTATGTATTTAAAATCTATTTGAATAAAAAAAGAAGACCATAAATATACATCGATTTTTTTTCTTTTTGTACAGAAAATGACATCTCTGTTAATTTATAAACTGTAATGGATGTGARCTAAATAATGTGCAACTAGTTAGGATCTGTGGCTTACAGATCATTGTACATTGATAATATTCCCAGCAGTGAAYGCTTCTTTCCAAAGCCTGTGAGGAACAACATATCAGAAGGAGATCAGAGAAGGAAAAAAARGTGTGTGAGACCTTTTAGAAAGGAAAAAAGAGGCCGTTTCTCAGCGCTGTAAATATATTTTACTCCAGAAGTCAGGAAGCTTTCACAAGCCAAGACAAAAAGCCCCATTCTGGCTGGGGGAAGATCAGATTTGATTAAGTTCAGAATTGATAGCCTTCACCGCGGCGGGCAGGGCACGGCTGCTTTCGGCAAGAAAAATGGCTTGTGGAAGTAGCCTGGACAGTTCATTTGAATTCCAAGTTTTAATCCTTGATTGGATTATTTTGGTCTTATCGGGCACATCCCAGCTTCTCCTGCTTCCCAGTAGCAGCATTCTGGCATGGAAGCAGGGGTTTGGCAGGCAGAAAAGCGAATTTTTTACTTTTTTTTTTTTAAGTGGCATCTGGCAATGTGGGGATGGGGGAAGGGTTTATCACAGAGAAAGTTGAAAACTCAACTGAATTTGATGGCAAAGGAGCAATTATGTGAAGGCAGTGAAGTGCACACTGCATAGTAATTTGCAAATTTACCTGTGCATTTCACAAGCCTTCGGTGGTGCTCTTCCTTGGGGCTCTGGGTTCCACTCATCACACAAATGGGAGGAGCTATTGCTAAAGAAACTGAATGTGGACAAAATGAGAAGGAAAAAATATGGTGTGGTTATCTTATGGAAAACAAAAAAAAAAAAAAGGAAAAATTATGGATTTGAGGTAAAACCATCAAACAGTGATAGAAAAACGAGCCTCAAGGTAGAAGCACAGAAATATTGACCAGCTTTTCCTCTTTGGTGGTGTTGTCCTTTGGTACTTGGTTATTTTCTAGACCTTTGAGTATTTGTGGGAAGGGAATCTYTCTCCAACCAGCCTAGCTGACTTTACCAGAGTATGGACACAGCAGATTCCTTCCCTACAGGGATACTTTGAAATATTTTAAGTATTTTTTTTTTCATTCAAAAAAGGTTTCTGTTGTAACTGCCATCTCTCCCTGATCTTTGGTACTTYGGGGTGGTCGCTGTGGGGCTGACAYGCAGCTGAAGGGGATGCTGTGGCAGCAATTCAGGCAATCCCACAGGTGCTAGAGCTGCCTGCTGCTCCTCACCAGGAGAACCCAGGGAGTTTGCATCCCAAAAACCAAATCCAGTGTTTCAAACCCACAGTTCTCAGTGCACGTTGCGTTTCAGAGCTGGGCAGTTTTTCCTCGTTGAGATTATTTTCTGTCCGTCATTTAATGTCCTCTCTTTGGTCCACCTTCCTCTTACAACGCTGAGGGTGGTGTTTGAGAAACAAGAACAGAATTCAGGTAGACAGATCCTGTGCTCCTCTCCTAAAAATTTTCTGAGGGCAACCCCTTGAGGAAGCACAGAATATTTTTRAGAGAGGAGATTCCAGCGTGTTTACAGGAATAATTACATATCCAGGCGAGCCAAGTAATATTTGAATGAAGTAGTAACACRGTAGCTTTTAACCTAAACATGGTTTTCCCCTAAGTGTTGGCATGACTGTGTTGGAGCAGTGTAGGGGAGGATTCCCAGCCTTTTCCCTTGGAAAAGAGGAGATCCCAGAGTGTCCTGAGTTGGAAAAGCAATGACTGAGRGAGCTCTCCTGAACCTGGATATGGCCAGGGAGGGTTCACTTCTCCTTGCTCGTCATGAAGAAAAAAGACCCAACCTTGGGAAAATTCAGGGTGCTGCCAAGGCAGAGATTTGGCCAAGGGCTCCCATTACCAGATTCCCAATTTTGGTGGTTAAAAAGGAGCAGATTAAAAACAAAAATCTCGAAGAACCTTGGCTGTGAACTGAGTGCTGCTCAGGAAACCGGGTGAGCTCCTGGAAGGTGGAGAGGATTTTGAAGCATTGGGGCGTAGTGTAAAATAACCATGTAAACATTAATATTGTTTCATTCGCTGTCTTGTCCCCCTTCCCTTAAATTATGTGTGTTAGTGCAAAAAAAAAAATTTAAAAAAATAAGCTTTAGCTGCACTTGGAGATTTCCCTGGGCCAGAGGAAGCCAAGTCACGTAGGGAGAGGAGTCGTGATAGGAATGCAGATCCGGGCTTGGAAGTGATCTCCAGCACTGTAATGTAGAATAATTAGATTATATGGGGTTGGAATAGCATCAGCTTTTATATTTGTATGGAGATCGGGAAAAATGAAGTAAAATTTGTAGTTTCTAGGATAAAGTAGTGGTAGTGGAGACAAGCACAGATTTCACGAGGGGGTCCCCAAGGGGCCCTGCCCAAACGTCTCGGGGAGCCGCCTTTGCACCTTAACAGGGATGGTTTTTGGGGTTTGTTGTTGGTGAAATGGTCATTTCGTGTTTGATTCCGTGGTTGTTGTCAGCAGGGGGACTCGAGGGGAAGGAGGAGAGCGTTGGGGACCAAACCTTGRCTGGGTAGGAGGCAACTTCCCCACCCTCATCATCGTCAGGCATCTTTCTTCCCCCTCCAGAGGCTGCTACACCAATCCTTAGGGTGGGATCTCTGCCTGTTGGGCCTGGATCCTCRCTTCCACACTTCTCAATGATTTGTGGGCAAAATTTACTGCATAGAAAACCCATTTTTGGATGTTCTTGTSTTTGCTGCAGAACAGGAAAAAAATTAAAACGCTCCAGAGTAAAGTTCTTTTCAAAGTCTTACAGAAATACTGAGCCCCCCCAAATTAAGAGGTTCTGAAATGAGTTTTGAGTTCTTCCTTTCTAAGCTACCAAAAAGAAGGTTGGCTTCAATTGTTTTATTGGAAAATAATCTCCTGTTTAAAAAAAAAAAACCATAGAAGTCATAGAGCAAAACATCCAAAGCTGTARATGGGTGAATCTGTTGGTTTAGGGTATTTGTAGGTTTTGCTTTGTTGTTTAGCATGGGCCAGTTTTTAGAAGTAAATATCAGTTTATCTTGAATAGACTGAATCTGTCCCACTTTTTCAAGGGATGTTCAAGGTTTTTGGGCCAGGATTGTCAGGAGCTGTGAATAGTTTATGTTTTGAGAGGAGAATTGCATGATTTCTGAAAAGTAAAAGGTTGATTTGGGTTTTTTTTAGGGCCATCTTYAGCCCCAAATCACCAAGCATGTTTRTGGCCCCACRTTTCRTTTCAGGATGACAGCAAGATGTGGGTGAATGAACTCCCATCGTTTTCTTATCATTCCCAGAATGTTCAGGGGGGRAAATTTTGCTTGTGGATGGATAAAATAAGGATGTTTTTGTGCATTTCAGCAGCTTTAACCTCTCATCTCCCTCTGCCTGCCTGTACCCCAAACCCCTGTGGCGCATTCAGGTCAGCTTTCCCTCAGCCACGAATTTTCAGGATGTGGTTTTTAGCTTCCAGTGCTAAGGACTGGCTGTTCTGCAAAGCTTCAGAGCTGCTCATCGTCACCTGTGTGTTCTTAAAAAATGTGAGGGGGGTGGGAGGGACAATTTTGAGGTCCCAGGCATGCCTTGGGGACCATGGCCRCGTTGCTTGCTGCCCATGAACCCACCACCAGCTCCTTTGTGTGCACTCTCYGCTTTTCAGAGCTGATCCATGTGGGGTTTTTCTGTCATTCCTCAGAGCTGGAGCAGTCAAAACCGCTTCCCTGGTCCTCAGGAATCGCAGGGTGCAAGGAGGAAAACAGCTCCTCTGTGCTGAAGGCAAACCCCAAACTCCTTCAGGACCAGAGGAGGGTTTTGGTGCTGCGTGTGGAATTGTTTGGCACCTGCATCCCAAATGGAAGGATTGAGCTGAGTTGAAGTGCAAATCCTCACGCTGATGGTGGGAATCGTTTTCATCACCAGCTGGAGCCAGGGCTTTCCTTGGATGTTTCCAGATGATTTTCCTCCTTCTTCCTCCTTCCACTGGCTTGWGGGATGGAGACATGCAGGGAGATGAGGTTCAGGCTTGCTGCAGCTCCAGGGRTTTCCCAAAAACCCAGCTCCTTCTGACAGCAATGTTCAGCTTGAGGAAACCTTGAACTCATCCCCCAGGARTGGAGAGGAGAAATCCCAGCTCAGCAGCCCTGGGGGTGGGAAGTGCCAGGGAAGGAGATTGTGCAGGTGGAAATTTTTGATATAAATTYGCTTGAAACTCATCCTTCAGACTGAATTTGAGTGTGGGACCGGTGAGCTGAAGGGGATCCAGCAACACTTCGGGTGTGGCTGCGTTTTGGGGCTGTTGAGGTTAACCAGGAGATATTTTCAGGTGAGATGTTCCTACGAGCTGTCTCCAGATGGCTTCTTCCCCAAAAGCAGCTCCTCATCCCCCTCTCCATGTGTTCTTGGCCATGACTGGCTCCAAAATGTTGCCGTGGGGAGCCCCAAACCTCAGCTGAAGGGGACTCAGGTGCTGCGTGTGCTGAGCAGTCTGGGAACACTGAGCCAGCGTTGTTGACTCCATTTCCACCCTGAGTTTGGTTCCTTGTCCTCCCAGGGGCGATCCTTACGGATGGGGMAGGAAGGAGCTGTGGTGAGGCACTTGGCTGGGTGTGCACAAACAATGGGAGGATTTTTCATTTTCCCCTCCTTCAATCTGAAATGCTGTTGAAAACCTCCCCCCGAGCGTTTTTCCCTGAGGTACCCAGGGATTCAGATGGATTCTCCATTGAATCCACTGAGGGAAAGAGGATGTTCCCAAATCAGCCCCTGAGTCTTTCAGGTCCTTCTGCTTTGTGGTGTTTGTCTTTCCAGTTGGGATGGGGAGGAAGAGAGCCCAGGTGAGYAGGGACACCTACTCGGGTAGAGGCAGGAGATACCTAGCACATGGCAGGCTTTATGGCAAGTTTTGGGTTGTTTGGGTTGGTTTTTTTATTTTGTCRTTGTTGATTTCTGTTTCTGTAAATAATAATGTATAAATGACGACGGGACAGTGTGGAAATTCTAAAGAAAAAAAGGCAAAAAAAAAAAAAGTTTTGTTGTTGTTTTTATATTACCTCATTCAGCAAGTTTGTTTTACAATGACTCAATGATGCTTTATTTATATTGTTTGTACTGTAATTAAACCGATTGACAAACATTTCACTTTGCTTGTTGTTTCCTATGATTTGGGTTTGATTAAGTATGCCAGTTTGTATTATGTTCCCCTTTCCTCTCTCTCTCTCTCCACGTYGAGATTTTTTGTGTCAGCTGTACAGTATTCTGAATAATTAAAAAAGAAAAATAATAAAAATTAAACAAAAAAAAAAAGAAAAAGGAACACAAAAGCTGTAAAATACTGCAGAGAGAGGCTGCTATATTGTATAGGTCTCTTTCTAATAAAGACAAGAAAACTTGTTGGTCGCAGCTCGTTCTTTGCCTGAGTTTTCACGGGTTTCTTGAGTCCCACCTGCTTCCTTCTCCTGTGGCTGCTCAGCTCCTGTCACTTCTTCCCAGCTGTAAAAATGAGGGATTATCCAGGACCAGTAACGGTGCAAATTGATAAATTAAAAAGCAATAAGTCAGCCGGGCCCTAATGGGTGTGTATCTAAGAGTTCTGGAGGAGCGAGGGACAGATCTTCCAGCCAAAAATACAGCAGCTTTCATTAAAAACAGTTCTTCTCCCCGAGGAAGGGAGCAGTAAGCGCTGCACCTTGGCTTTAAGACTCTCTGGAGGTGATTYGAGGAATTAGGCCACTAACGGTGACATCTGTATCTGCTAAATTGGTCGAAATGATCATTTAAAGGAAGAATAATAAAATATCTTTAAGGTCAGGATATGGTGTGGCCTGACTGGAGGGAAATGGTGGCTCTCCATT